GCTAAGCGCGCACGCAACCTCTATTAACCGGACGTTGGGGATCACGTGGTGCAGAGGGAGCCCGGCGTGACTCTAAACGCTTTCATTCCAATAAAGCCGCTCAAATAACGCGCACGAGCTGGGCCGCGCGTGTCTAACTCTGCGGCTTTAAAACAGGTGAACACGGAAACGTGAATCCAGCTTTGCTCGTCATCATTTTGTGTTGTAGTGTTACACTTTATTATTATATTTATCTATTCTATTCTATTCTACACACACATGATCGTTTATTGTTGTTCCAGCAGCTTCTCGCAGCTGCCGAGCCTCACTCGTGTTATCATTCACCTCACGTGTAATTTTCACGACCATGTTCGTCCTGCTGTTGTTTCATGTTAGACAGAAGTAAGAAGTTTCCGTTAAAAGCAGAGAAAACAGGTCCGTCTATTCAAACCCGTTAAAAGGTGTCGAGGCGGCGCCCCCGCGTGGCGCTGCGAACTTTTAGCCCCGTGGGCTGTTGGACAGCTGCTGGCCCGCCTGTGACGGACAGGTGAAGGGACTAAACGATCACAGACACGTGATTTATTCCCGGTGAGTAGGTGTGCGGCTGGCAGCGCCCTTCAGGTTACCTGTTTATTGTGATCACCCGTGGACCGTGATTAGGCCAATAATGCTTTCTTTACGTTCTCATTGATCAAACTCATCGTTTTTATTTGTCAGTAATTTTCTATTTAAAATGTTAAAAACAACACTTTGATCTTCTCCTTTGGACTGTGTGATTTTTGCCCTCAGGTTCGCTTATGTGTGGAAACATTTTCCGTCCATTTGCGCTTTGAGCTCAGTAGCAAAATGGCCTCTGCCTTTTCTTCCTCTCTCCATTCTGTTTCATTATTTATTTATTTCTCTCTCTCTTTTAATTTTCAGATTGTAGGCTAACTGCTACAGCGCCCCGTTGTTCTCGCTGAGGATGTTGGCTACAAAAGGAGGCAGGCAGTGGCGCACAAGTCCCGCCTGTATTTCCCTCCGGAGGAGTCTCGGTATCGGCGCCCCCGACTGGGGATTGGAGCGGCGACTTGTCAGTAAATTAGCCCACCCTTCACATAGTGTTTGTGAGGGAAAGCGAGACAGTGACGGTCTGATCCCTCGCTTATCAGCTGCCTGTCACACCAGCGCGCTACGATACCGACCCGCAGCCATCCGCCGCGCTGTGACACCTGGCCGGTATGGAGGGAGAGATGCAGCCCGCAGATGAAGGGCCGTGCGCCCCGAAGATGTGCCGACAGCAGCGGGGTCCGTACAGCACCCTAAAAACCTTCCAGAGCAAGCGCTCTGCGGGCAAGTCGCGCTTTGACCGGTCCGCTGTGGTCGAGATGCCCCTGTTCGGAGACGGGCATCATTTCACTTTTCACCCAGAACAGCCTCATCCTTTCCAGCCGCACCATCATCAGCAACAGCGTCCGCAGCAGCTCCACCAACCCGGCGTTTCTATCAGCAGCAGCCAGCAGCATCACCAGACGACTCAGCAGCAGCAGCAGCGTTTCCCATGTGAGACCAGGCCCAGCAGCAGGGTTCCGACATCCACCTCAGCGGCAGCATCTCTCGGCAGCCAGCAGCGGCACGCCAGCAGCGGCGGAGCAGAGCCCAGGTTTTCTCCGGACTGCACCTACGGTATCAGCACAGGTGGGTTTAAACTTGTGGCACAGAGTCACTTCTCTTAACGTCCAGGATATTCACACTTTTACCATCGTTGCCTCCAGATTAGTGAAACGCTAGAACAGTTGTTTTTCTTTCTTTTGGTTCCTTTTAGATGAAACCGTGCAAAGCTGCCAGAGTCAATAAACTTAAGTGTTGCAGGCAAAAAGCCAACATGTCTTTTGTTTGTCTCGCATCACCTGAGCTTCATGTTTTTGTTCCGTTTCTTGCTCCTGTCAGCAGTGATTGATTTGCTGTTGTGATGAGAGCAGTCATGATTGAATCTCTAGTGTGCATGTGCTAAAAACGACACCGCGTAATTGTCTGCCTGTGTGTTTACTGTGTGTGTGTGTGCATGAAGGGCTCTCTGTCTCCTGTTGTAACATTGTTCCCTGCTCATTTTCTTCTCAGCTGCTGTTCATTAGAGGGGTGCACAGGAAGAAATGTGTTCCCCATGTGGAGGGCGGGTCCATGGGAACAGCATTAAGATGAAAGCAATGAACCTAACCCCGGCATTACCACGATTAAATATTAGACATCTCATCCCTTAATCAGATAATAATCTCGTTATCACTGCTGGCAGCAAAGACTCAATTTGCTGCTGCTTATTGTTGCTTTGGAGACAATCAAGTGCTCAGCCAGAGCTCCGGTCTCACTGCAAGCCCTGTTTTAACTAACTTAGATGTGAAATGGCCAATTTGTGCATCAGGTAGGGCACATTTCACTTTTAAGTGATCGTTTATCTTTGACCAGCTCGCATCTATGAAACCTCTTTGTTGTTTGCATCTATTGTGGCGTGCACATGATCCTGAGATCACTAATGAAACAGTCACATAAACTGTTTTCCCTGCTCGAGTGAATCAGCCTATAATACACAAGATGTATCGTCCAATCAGAGCTAAAGCGTGCCATGCATTTCTTGCTGATAATGACACATCAAAGTGCTTCTATCTACACCACAGAACAACTTAATGTTCCTCTTATGGCTCGGAAAAGAAGAAACTTGATGTCCTTTCTTTCACCGGAGGGCCTGGGATCCAGCAATCAGTTCAGCACACAATAACACAAATTGCATTGAAAAGCCTCTCCCAAAGAGTTGTGATTAAAATAAATGGGTCTCATAAATTTTCCCTCTGCCGACCGTGTTGTTTTTAATGAAATTTTATGAGACTCTCAGCTCGCAGTGCCACGCAATTGGTGAGAGGAGGAGACGAGAGTGGGGGCGGGGGTGCACGGCGAAGGCGAATGATATCAGATACATCTCGACGGGTAAACAGAGACGGCACGCATATTAATAAATGCGACACATCTGCGCCAGGCTGATAGACACGTCTGAGCG